CTCTTACCTTCTTCCTCACCTTCACCTTCTCTCTTATTTGAATTCCAGCCAGCTAAATTCTAGTTGGATGCAGTTCAACTAAAATGCACACATTAAAAGGTCGTTGCAAGAATTAAAGCAATAAGGCATCTGAGGCAGCCATGGAAGTGTGCCACTCACATGACTCTTCAAGAGCAAGCCTGCAGCAAGTCGTGCAGTGAGCTACAGCCTCCAGCTGCTGTGCCTTCAGGATCCATTGCAGTGTTCAGGCTAAGGCCACACTCTTCCCAGGCAGCTCCCAGCAATGCAAGCCTGGTAGGGATTCTAGAGCCAGGCCATTCCTGCCCAATATGGACTCCTCTAACGAGCAGTCTTTGCCCTGGGGCTCCCTGTTGGCCTGGCCAAGACTTTTTCAGAGCTGCACTGCAGTCTGCAGCTCTCACCCAATCCTCCTTTCTTTCTTTCCATCCTTACCCGCAAAGATGTAGGCCCACATCATGGTTTGAGGCTCTCCCTGCCTACCTGACAGGGATTTCTCTTTAATTTCTAATTCTGTCTTGTCATCTGTTTCCCAGAGGACCTGAACTGACAGCATATAAAGTACTGGGCATAGAATGAAGGTTCCGAAAATGTTAGCTGTTATTGTTATAGTGATTATGATTTGATTAAACTAATGACTCCACTAACGGAAGAGACTCTTAGAGGCACCCACTCTCGTGACGTTCTGATCCAAGAGTCCTCCGTAGAATCTTAGGCCTTGCCTAGCCTGCATCCATTTTTCTGCCCATGCGGCACTGTTCCAAGCAGATGATCATTCCTGCTTTTTCTAATGCTTCACTGTGCAGAGAGAATTTCAAAACCACTAGACAATTTGGTGAAATATATTGAAAACTTCAGAATTAGCTGGGAAAACGGAACTCTGCAGCCCTTCATCTTAGGACGAACAAACACCATGGTCCTAAGAGTCTTCTTAAAACCAGCATCAATGAAAGCCATAATCATTAAACAGAGCCTTTCCTGAAGGAGTTCTGTGTCAAGTCATTATGAGCCACCTAGTATGTGTAATACTGGTGCACACGGGACATTGATTAGTCATGGAAAGGAAAATGATGGTCAGGCAGTAAGGGAAAGACAGAAGAGTCTGTGAAAACATCCGTCAGCCTGCAGCCCTAAAACATGTCCATTAGAGCACATGAAACACTTTTCAGTGACAGGTCCCATAAACACTGTTGAGAACTCTGTTATGATGACAGCTATAAACTCCATTCTCCTGAGATCTAAGAGGCTGGTTCCAATTCAGTGACCACAGACTTCACAGAGCAGCTATCAACAATATGATAATGGCTTGTGATAAAGGTGTTATTGACGCTCTGCTTATCACAGCAGAGAAGTAACTGACGATCAACAGCAATTAGGTGTTTAATAAAACTGTACTTTGGAAATGATGCTGTTGAAAAGATTGTCATGGGTGGCCCAAGGGACTGTCTTGACATGAGTGCAGCCATATTTGGCTGCTCCATTGACCTACAGCCACCAGCACACAAAGAAATATAAAGCTGCTTTCTGTGTGGTGGGAACTGGCCTTTCTCCCATGGAGATAGTTGCAATTTGTAACATTTTAAGGTCCTTTGGTCATCGCAGCCCGGGGCAGCCTGGACATCTGTGCGGGCCTGGGATGATACCCAGGGAAAACAATGCACGTACACAACTGCCGGGCTGGGACGATAGCCAGGAGGCTCAGTACACGTATGCCACTGACAACCATTTGTGCATGGGAACACTGAATGCTTGCTCTGTAGACTCTGTAACTGTTTACTCTGGAAACTACCGATGCTATATAAACTGCTGGAGCTCGAAGCCTGGTGAGAGTCTCACCTGTGGAGGGGACGCCCTGCCCAGGACTTCTGATGATCGGATTCCCTCCCAGCCATGTCAATTGTAGGGACTCTCCCCGGCAGTGGGACGTGGATGTTGTGAGTAACCAATCTGATGTGTCCTCTTTTCAGTCAACCTGGTATTTCTCTTTCCAGTTGATTTGTGTCATTTCCCTTCAGTCAATGTGGATGTTTTCCCTTTCCAATCGATCTGATGTTTTTCCCTCTCATTATATGATCTATTCGAATCTGCTGCCATCTCAGTCGATGTGTATGTTTTCCCTTTCCAGTCGAGCTGATGTTTTTCCCTCTTAATATTTGACCTATTCAGATCTGTTTGCGGACTATCGCCTTTACTATCCTCTATATAATAAAATATACCTTCAGTCCGTTTGTTTGGAGTGGAAAGTTTCTTTTACATCTCCAATGGAATCTCCCAAACCTCTCATAACAGGGACTCAGTAATCCATCCCAATGAAGCCCATGGCTGTTTTTCTTTTTGAAAGCACTTCTTCTATCAAAATAAAAACTATGTGACTTTTGTCCCATCTGAAGAAAGGGGAATCAACTTTTATCTGATTACTCACATAACAGCCATGAGTTATCACTTAAGCAGAGCCTGGCACACTCAGGGGTCAAGGGCAAGACTGGGGAGACAGGAAAAGTGGAAAATCCCAGTGATGGCTACAGGTTTCACCCAGTTCACCACGCCGACAGTGACTGGGTCTCAGCACAGAGTTCTGTAATTATAATGCGTGTGTTGCTAATAAAATAACCTAAAAAAGGAAGGGTCAACACCACCACAACCCCACACCCACCACTTTTGGGGAAGTGGAAATTATACCAAGTTACTAGGAAAAGCAAATGGGGTTGTAATTACGTATCTCTAATACAAATTACTCAATTGTGATATCCACTCCTGTTTCTATTATGCCAGGTCCACTCTTGGTCGACGTGCCTTCTGTATTAGGAAGAAACCTTAGCTTGGGAATGTGATAGACTCGGGCCTGAAGGATGCTTCCCTAGCTGTGTGGCAACGGGCAAGTTACCTCTCTCTTGGAAACTCAGTTTCCTCATCTGGAAAATAGAGATAAGAATAACTACCCAACAGAGTTTTGTGAGACAAAACACCATCCGGTATGTGAGAGGCCCTAGCATCTTGTCCTAACAGATTATTTAAAATCAGTCACAATCTATCATATAATATGGGACAAATGCACAGCCCAGTGAGCAAAATTGCTGCCCTATATTTTATCATCTGCCCTAAGAAATAAGAAGAAAGGATTTTTTTTTTATAGTGCAGTTGTAAAATTTGACTTTAACATTAAAGAGTTTTGGCAATATCATAAAAAGACCACATGATGGCTCAGTAACTTCATAACAATAATAGCTAATATCTTATTATTAATTACTTTATTAAATTCTGGGTACTAGTCTAAGTACTTTACATGGATTACTTCATTTAATCCTCAAAACTACTCTATGAGGTAGGAACCCTATTCTCCCATTTTACAGATGAGAAAACTGAGTCAGAGTGAAGTTTAGTAACTTACACAAGGTAACATAACCTGCAAGTGACAAGGGCTAGACTCATATACAGGAGTCTGATTTCCAACCCTGTGTTCCAACAAGTATGCCAAAGACTGGACTTCTGGAGTGGCCAGCCAAGTTCTATTTCTTGACCTGGGTGTGTTTGCCATATATTTTATTCATGTGGTTTTCTGAGTTAGTTTTATTTTATTAAAAAACATTTTTAAGTAATAACATTGGTAGTTAAAATTTTACCACTTGAGGCTTTGGGCAAAAATTGAGTATGTGTTTTGCATATCGTGTGGTTTGCAACCATAGGCACAGAATTAAGGTTTTGTAATATTGAAATAATATTTGTCTCAGTTGTTCAGGACAGCAGCACAAAAGCAAATGGAAATTGTATTTTCAATTTGTGGTAGGACTGTTTCAATTCCAACAGTCCATTGGAAAAATGGGGAAATGGTATAAGGAAAGTATTTTTATTTTGGCATTCTAAATTGCCCTCCCCCTGACTCTATATTTTTCTCAACATTTATTTGTTTCTCTCTTTGTGTATTTGTCTCTTAATCTCTCTCTCTCATCCTTTCTCTTTCTCTCATCCCTCTCCCTGTTTAGCCCCAGATCCATACCATTCTACTTCTCTTCTCCCTGCCTCTCTCTCCTTTTCTTATAGAACTTGAGAACATTTCTTATTGGTTTTATTGATTGAATATTATGATGTATTACTTAGTTTTCATTAAAAATGGTTGACTGGATTGCGTCCAACCTTCAATTAATCCTCTTAAATTAAGTTTCCATTGACACAGGCTGACCCCTTGATTGACTTTTATTTTACTAGCTTAATGGTTTCTATTTAATAAAAAGCTTCTGTACCTTATGGAAGTTTGGGATTGGAAAGGTTACCAGGTTATGGCCTAAGAAGAAAATGAATATATGAGCATAAATTTCCCGAAGCTATCTGATTTCTCCTCACATCTTGCTTTTCTCCTCACCTACAGACACCCAACAAAGAAATGGCCAAGGGTGTTCCTCAGTCTACAGCCCAGGGGGGGCTTAGTCTTGCTATTGTTAAAGAGCTCTACGGCAAGGGCATATACTCAGAGACCTCAGCGCTGCACATAAAGATGTGCCCTCAGAGGCTGGGAGCGGCCAGAAAGATCCTCCCCTAAGCCCAGGATCTCTGGGCCTCATCCCCAGAACTAATTTGTGCACTGGGACATGACTCACAAATCTGATTACCAGGCAGAAAAGTATATTTTTAAAAATCCTCTTCTCTCTGCTAAAGAGACACTTGCATTGTTTATTTGACAGCTGTATACGGGGTGCTCCTCAGTATACAAACAGTGTAGTGCATATCATCTTCCCATCTGAATAAGGACTGGGTGCTCCAGCCCTTCCCTCATCAACATGGTCCAGACCAGATTCTCAGAATCCCATGGGGCCCTGCCTGCCCCTGGACTCTGGAAATCAAGACTTATCACATGGAGCCTTTATGACAAACCCTAGTCCCACATCCCCCACTTCAGATTCTAAGACTTCCTTAACTCTCTCCAGGACGTCACAGCCTGATCAGTATCTCGGACAGTTCCACTGCTTCTGCTGGGGAGCAGCAGGTACCTGTTGGTTTGTTCGGTAAGCTGGCTGGGGTCCCTCATCCTTGACCTCTTCCTCCGGTCCTGAGAACACTATTTCTTCTTCCTCCTCCTCCTCACTTTCTTCAGAACAGGAATCAAATGCGTCAGCATAATACTCTTCAGCCATAAGGGGGTCTTCTGGGATCTCTGAAATAAAGAATAAACAACAATCAGGTCCCACTAGTCACTAAAATTATAATGAGGCTAGGATCTCCCATGTTTTCCCAGGGATGTACATTTTGTTTGCACTGACAAAGTTTTCACAGAGTGTAGAGCTGAATCTTAGCTTCTGAAAGTATCTGGTTGAATGTAACAAATACTCAGCAAAATTAAACCGGTAGAGGAAACAAGAGATGCAACCATCTTCAATATATTTTGAAAATAGAAGAATAAAACCATGAAACAAGAAGAAGTGATCTCCTTTAAAGCCTTTACATTTGGAGACAAGAATCCTTATTACAAATGAGGGGATTTAGGAGCAAAAGTAGGATAAGATAGTTTGGCTGCAGAACCCTATTACACACCCACATAAAGTTTTTCCAGAGGCAGTTGGAGTGGAATTATGTCAGCATTCTTCCTGGGAATTTCTTTCTTAAAGAAAATATAGGGTGGTGAGACCAGGCAAGATGGATAGGATAAATAGCAATGGCATTTTGGCAAATGGAGGAAAACATTACAATTCTTTTCTAATAGGCTACGAAGGCTTTTGAGATGGAGTTCACTCTGGGGCTCTACTTACACCTACACATGGCATTAATTTAAAAAAAAAAAAGGAAAGATCATCTACTTAAGCTGATGCCAAGAAGTGGCTACCTAAGTTACCTGATGTAATATTATTACTAACTAAAAATATAGTTAGTCCTTATAATGGTCTTCAACCAAGAAAGGCCAAGAATGGATCACAAAATGCATAGTGATATCAACTTAGTTTGCTAACGAGGGCCTAGAAATAGAGAAATGTCCTTGGGGAGAAGAGGAAATTACATAATGATACCCTACCAAATTAAAACCATGGGCATTTTAGGCTTTGCACCATACTCTGACTTACAAACAAAATTATTCTTCTAAATTGTAACACGAAACACTGTTTTTCATCCCATTGTTGCTATTTGATGTCTAGTGGGGAAAATATAAAATTTGGGGTCAGAGAATCAAGGTTTGAATCTAGCTCTCCCACCTCTTAGATGAGAACCTGGGCAAAGGATTTGAACTTACTGAGCTCCAATTTCTCCAGTAAAACTGACAGAAGGGTAATCTAGCCAGGTAACTATGAAGAGTCAGTGAAGAGTCAATGATTTTTATGAAAGCATTTGTATATAGGGAAACTTTATACACATGTTCACTCAATTTCCACATCTGTAAAAATGAACTTTTCCTTAACTGATTCCAGAATCCTTTGAGAGTAAAATACTTAGTGGATATAGAATTCCCTGACAAGGGGATACTTTAAATCTTTGCTACCCATGGTTTCCCGTAAAACAGAAGAGGCAGTACCATGGAATTAAAGCTAATCAGCTCAAAATACAAAAATTACATACATTCAAAACTGCCTCTGCCAATTCCTTAGGGAGGGGCACTTCGGGGATCTCATACTTTCTCTCGGCAACTCCAACACAGCCTGTTTTCCCTTCAGATCACTGATTTTCAGTTGAGCACCAGATGAAATTGGTTATTTGTATCGAGGCACCATGTTTTATAAAAAAGTTCAATTGACACTCAGAATGACAAGAGGATCACAGCAAGAGAAGTATATAAAAACTAAAATCCACTGAGAGGACGATTTGCGTCTGCAGTTTTGCCCTTAAGTAGGGACATACGCTCGCTGAGTGGAAAGGTGGACAGAACCGTAAGACCTCCTGCCTCTCTTCCTCCCCACCGCCTCTCCCTGAATCTCCATGTCTCTTTCACAGGGTTGTCCTTTCTCTCTCTCTCTCCCCACTTCCTCCCGTTTCCTCTTCCTCTCCCTGAGTCTTTCTCTGACAGTTATTCACTCACTTATTCATTCGTATTTTCTCCCTCTTGCTCTACCTCTCTCTCTATTCCTCCCCCTCCCCCACCTTCAGGCAAGAATATTTGCTTTCCAACTTGACTATGACACAGTAAGAAACATCATTTACATTGTTGCCCAGTTCACAGAAATGTGCTTACATTTGTGTATGTGTGTGTATATATACATATATCTTTATAGTTGAAACAAAAGTTTCATGCATCAAGATATACCCATACTACATACGGCACACTCTGGTATTCTGCATTCTATTCAATCCTCTTTAAAATGCTAGTTGCAACTTGCTAAACTGATTTCTCAATCCACCATTTGAAAAATACTGGTTTAGAAGGCTAGCTTTGGCATCAAAAAGACCTACATTTAAATCAAGGCTCTAACATCAGCTCCATAACATTAGGCATTATTTAAACTTTCTGCACTTCAATTTTCTCATCTGATGAAAAATGGGATGACACGGGGGCCGGCCTGGTGGCGCAAGCAGTCAAGTGCACGCGCTCTGTTGCGGCGGCCCGGGGTTCGCCGGTTCGGATCCTGGGCATGCACCAACGCGCTGCTTGGCAAGCCATGCTGTGGCGGCGTCCCATATAAAGTGGAGGAAGATGGGTACAGATGTTAGCCCAGGGCCAGTCTTCCTCAGCAAAAAAAGAGGAGGATTGGCAGATGTTAGCACAGGACTGATCTCCTCAAAAAAAAAAAAAAAAAGGGATGATAGTACTCACCTTATAGAACTGTTGTGAACATTAAATAGTATAATGGACACAAAGCATTGTGCACATGGTATGTACCCAATAAATGTTAGTTACTAACATTTAACATAAAACTCTGTAGTTTTGCCTGTAATCCTCAACACCAGGAAGAAATACAAATATTAGACAATCATAAATATATACCAAGTTTAATTTTATATATATATATATTAAATAGAATCACTTCTCAAAATCCATATGGTACCCAATTCAAATGGGCAATAAGGAATCACTCCTCTGTCTGGTCTCCCTTCTGCTGGGCTCCAGAGGGACCCTCGGGCATTTCGCCACTCTGGTCTCCTCCCATCGTCCTTCCTGTCCACTGGTTCCATCTAGGTTGCCTCCAGGCAGCTCAGAGGGAACCTCTACAACAGGGGTTAACAAACTTGTTCTGTAAAGGGCTAGATAGTAAAAATGTTAGGTTTTGCAGGTAAAACAGTCCCTGTCACAACTACCCAACTCTTTGTAGTCTGAAAGCAGACACAGACGATACATAAACAAATGAGTGTGGCTGTGTTCCAGTAAAATTTTATTGACAAAAGCAGGCAGTGGGCCGGATCACACAACAGCTCTACAACACAGATACACCTTTCTCTTATTAAATATTAAGCCCCTCCTCCCATAGCATGGCTCCTTGTGCAAAGTCCGCTCCCAGGAAGGAGAGGAAGGGGAAAAATGGTCAGGGGGAATGTGCCATCCTGCCACATATGCTTAATTGTGGAACAGAGTGGGATGAATCCATCTCCAGTATTTCTTCAGCAAGTACCACTAACTTGGTGCAGCTCAGAAAAGGGTTCACTTTCAAAGGGAAAAGTCAAAAGAATTTAAGTCTGCTCAAACCGTGTTTGTCAAGCTGTGCGTTTTTCGTACATAGGCCCAATTTGAAGCCTTGTTAGGCTAAGGCTCATTTCTCCTGTCATCGAAGGAAAAATAGTCTGTGATAAATAGCTTTAATTTCCTAGCACCCTGAAGTCAGCCTGTTAACAGAAGCACTGGAGTGGCATTCCAGATCTCCACCACACTGCGTGGGCAGTGACAGAGCGTGCTTATGAAGGAATCCAGTGACGGCTGCCTGAGCTTGAACACAGATGTTGCAAACCCATGCTGGAGAAAAAAGAGAAGCAATCACCCTGTTCTAGGAAAAGGATGCTCTTTGCCATACACTTCAATTAAGACCCTAATCAGTCCCTTACTCTATGACTTAAGTGAGCATCAGGATCACCTGCAGGGCTTGATAAAACATGGATCGCTGGCCCCACCCAGAGTTGCTCATTCAGTAGGTCTGGGGCGAGGCCTGAAAATGTGCATTTTTAACAAGTTCCCAGGGGAAGCTGGTGCTGCTGGTCCAGGGGCCACAATTTGAAAACCACTGCTCTAGGACGTGACTAGTTCAAATAAAAGCACTATCATATACTATATAGAAACACTATAATAAAATATGTCTTTATATTATCTATACATCTTCCAACATTTGTATGTTACAGACAAAAAAATGAAGAAATAAACTTTACTTTGGAAGAGCTCAAATTGTTATACCATTAGTTGCCTCAACTACTCATAATCTCTATGGAGTTATACGAGACTATTCCCATTTTATTGATGGGGAAGGAAGAACAAAGCTATGAGCGAGCAGTCCAAAGTTACAGCACTTTACAGTTTGTAAAAGCACATTCATATCCATTATTCCACTTGATCATTGCAACAAGTATTCAAGTTAGACCAGGGCAACATTTTTATGTCATTTTTCAGATAATGAAAGTGAGGCTCAGACAGGCTAATAACCAACCAAAGGTCACACAGCTATATGCATGGTGGACACTAGACTAGAATGAAAATGACCTGAATCCTATCTTTTCTCCACTGAATTAGTGCTATTTTATGCTTAGCTAGGAATTTTCATCTTTGCTAGTAAAACCATGTCACCGATAAAAGTCATGATTGTCTTCCCCGTAATTCTGACAGGTGTTGGACAACAAGGGATAGACTTTTGACTTATGGATAGAAAAACTGAAACTTTGTCATCCTGGTAAATCGTCTGAAGGGAGCTGGGAATACTGAATGCCAGGGCCCTCACTCAGACTCAGCCCAAGTAACACTACCCTCTATCTCAGATGTGCTCAAACTGGAGCGTGCAGCAGGATTTCCTGGAGGCCTTATTAAAACAGATTCCTGGCCCCCATGCCCAGTGCTTCAGATCCAGTAGATCTCAGGCGGGGCCTAAGATTCTACATAATGATGCTGCTAGTCTGGCAACACACTTTGAGAACTAGTGCTCTATCTCATAGGACCTTCAAGGAGAAAATGACATACAAGTGTAATTTCTTTTTAAATTTTATTTATTTATTTTTCCCCCCAAAGACCCAGTAGATAGTTGTATGTCATAGTTGCACATC